GGGCTGGGGCTGCAGACAAGGTAGGGGTGTCACCCTGTGGGTGCTGAGCCCAAAGCTGCAGCACCCACCTGACCCCACCTGGGACCAGCTCTGTGTGCGGGGATGGTGATGGTGACAGAGCTGCAGGGCTTGGAGCCTCCATGGGAGGACTCGTCTCATCTCAGTGGAGATTTCATGGTGGTCAGCCAGGAGCTCCTTCCATGGGCTCTGTGGAGCAGGGCTGGCTGTGTGGGCTCTGTGAGCAGGGCTGGCCCCACAGGCTCTGAGGAGCAGGGCTGGCTCTGGCCCCTGCACAGGGTGGTCCCTGGCTGTGATTCCCAGTTTCCCCCTGTCCTCCTTTGCTCCCCAGGTCCGCAGCCAGGCTCTGCTCCCCGCTCTCCTCGGGAGATCCAGCGTCCATCACTGTCCACGATTCCCCTGCAGCAGCAGCAGCAGTGGTGCCAAGGGCTCTCGGGCTGCCCGGGCAGCTCTGGCCACTGGCACTGCTCCTGGTGGCCCCACGGCAGCRCAGACACCACGTCCCAGCCCGGCCTGGCCTGGAGGCTGTGGCAGCAGCAGGGAGCCCATGGGCGGGACTGGAGCRTCCCACAGTTGGACATGGGGACAGAAAAGCACCTGGAGCTGCTGCAGGAGAACATCCTGCTCTGCCACCCAGGACACACTGTCATTACTGGTGATGGTCCCGTCCTCAGCCTTGCACCACCTGGGAGGGTCCATGGGGTGGTTCCTGAGGACTCCTGGGAGGAATGTCCCTGGCTGGGGTCCCGTTTGTGCCGTGGTTTTGTGGCAAGGAGCCCTTTGGCCCTGGTGGAGCTGAGCAGGGGTGCAGGGCAACCCCTGGAGCCCCTGGCTGGGATGGGGGTGCTCCCTGTGGAGTCCCTGTGGAGCACAGGCTGGGGCACAGGAACCGCTGTCCTCCCCTCACTGGGACTGGGGCCAGTGTCCAACACCAGGGAAAAGGAGCAAAAGAGCAAAATTCACAACAGGAGGGAATGGAAACCAAAGAGGAGCCGGTAAAGTGGCAGAGGAAGGTGGAGACAGCAGGTGAGATGCTCTCAGTGCCAAGGGGACACTCAGTCCTGTCCCCAGTGCCCCAGCCAGCACCTCTGTGCTGGCCCCACGAGCTGGACAGAGCCCCGTGTGATTGGGGCACCCTGAGGTCACCCAGTGTCTCAGTCCCATGTCCCTGCACGGGACCCCAAGGCTGGTGCCATGGCAGCAGGACAGGGGCTGTCCCACCTCCTGCCCTCTCCTGGGGGCTGTGGCTGCCCTGGGTGGCCTGGCGTGGCCTCCTGTTGGAAATGTGAAAATGCCACTCCCCCAGCTCAGCCCTGCTGCAGGGTGACAGTGTGGGGTCCCTGCCCAGTCACACCCCCGGGGGTGTCACAGCCCAGGGGGCTCCTTCACACCTGGCTGCACATTTATAAACCTGGGTGCCGGTGGGATCCTCCCGGGGCTGTGCCGTGGGTCTGAGTTCCTCTGGCTCATCACAGAATCATGGAATGGGCTGGGCTGGGAGGGGCCTCAAAGTCCCTCCAGTGCCACCCCTGCCATGGCAGGGACACCTCCCACTGTCCCAGGTCACTCCCAGCCCCAATGTCCAGCCTGGCCTTGGGCACTGCCAGGGATCCAGGGGCAGCCACAGCTGCTCTGGGCACCCTGTGCCAGGGCCTGCCCACCCTCCCAGGGAACAATTCCTGCCCAATATCCCATCCATCCCTGCCCTCTGGCACTGGGATCCATTCCCTGGGTCCTGTGACTCCATCCCTCGTCCCCAGTCCCTCTGCATGTTTCCTGCTGGCTTCTTCAGGCACTGAAGGCCATAATTGGTTCCTCCTGTTCCTCCTGAAGCTTCTTTTCCCCAGGCTGAACAATCCCAGCTCCCCCAGCCTGTGAGAAATGCCAGAAATCCCTGTGGCTGTTCTCCAACCCCTGAGGGGGTTTCCACTCCTTTGTCCTCCCTGGGGACTCTCCTCCATCCCACAGCTGGAGAAGTCCCCAAACCAGACCAGTCCCTCTGGTCACTCCCAGCCCAGGGTGCAAGTCCCAAAYGGGCCCATGTGACACCACAAATGTGTCCAGCCGGTGTGACCCTGCTCTGGCTCTGTCACCTCTGGGTTCACAGGGCTCRGTTTGGAGCCTCCTGCTTGGGCTGCTCACTGTTAATGCCCTGTTGCTCCTGCAGCCACCCCCTGCCACCTCCTGCTGCTCTCCTGCCAGAGGGAGCACCTGCAGATCCCAAATGGAGCCACAGGGCCCGCTCTGTGCCCTGCAGGACACAGTGGGGGTGTGGGAGACAGTGAGAATGTGGGACAGGCCAGTCCAGCAGCAGCAGCATCCATCCACCCTGGAGCTGATCCCATCCTGGGGCTGATCCCATCCTGGAGCTGATCCCATCCTGGGGCTGATCCCATCCTGTGGCTGATCCCATCCTGGAGCTGATCCCATCCCAGGGCTGATCCCATCCTGTGACTGATCCCATCCTGGGGCTGATCCCATCCCAGGGCTGATCCCATCCTGGGGCTGATCCCCTCCTGGAGCTGATCTCATCCTGGGGCTGATCCCACCCTGTGACTGATCCCATCCTGGGGCTGATCCCATCCCGGGGCTGATCCCACCCTGTGGCTGATCCCATCCTGGAGCTGATCCCATCCTGGTCACTGCCTCCCTGCTCCTCCAGAGCCTGTCCAGAGCTGCTTTGCTCAGCTCACAGGGGTTTGCTTTGATCCACACTCACCAAAGGCCCCTCTCTGTCCTGCCTTCCCAGGGCCCTGCTGGGACAGTGAGGGGCCCGGCCAGTCAGGCTGAGAGAGAGCCAGAGGCCAGGATGAGCCCTGGGTGGCAGAGTTCCCTCTCTGGCCCCAGCCCAWGCTGGGAGCGGTGCCGCTGCACAGSAGGACGAGCAGGGGCTGTCTGTGTGTCCCAGCTATGTCCCTGTGCCTGCTCCTCAGGCTGCTCCCCTGGGCACAGGGAACTGCTGGAAAAGGTGCCCAGCCCATGTGAGTGACACCAGTCCATGTGCATTGATCTCAACCCAAACCAATAAATGTCTGTTGGAAGCTCTGTAGGTGTTGTCCCCACCTGGGACCTTTCAGGAGATGGCTCGGCTGTGTCACAGCAGGGCAGGTAAAGAGGAACGGGGACACGATCCTAAAAACTCAGGCTGGACTTTGGAGTTCCCTGGAATGCCCAAAGGGATCCCCAACCCTTCCATCTCTGGTTCTGACCCACATTTCACTTTTGGGCCTGGCTGAAGGATCTTTGGACAAGTAAGAAACTCCTGCCTGGGTTTGTGACTTTAGAGGGCCCTGAACTGTTTGCATAGATTTGATATTTGTGACCCTTCTGTCCTGCCCAAGCCTCCATGGCAMCATTTCCAGAGGGGCTGTGGAACACCAGATATCTCCACTATGTGTTCTTTAATGGAGCACTGAGGGGCACAGGCTGCCCCAGACCTTCTCCTGGAGCCCTGCTGYACCCCAGGTTCTCTCAGGAGGAGCAGGGCCAGCAGGCAAAGTGCAGGGTCTCGTGGTTTTGGTGTTTCCTGGCCTTGGGATGGGTGATCAAWGAACATGAAAAGCAGCTCATGGTGATGGACAGGAGGAGCTGGAGCTGAGCAGGGGCAGGGGTGGGACAGAGCCTGGGCTCTGTGGGTCTCAGCAGCCCTGCAGGGCCAGGGSAGCCTGAGGTCACTCAGGGAGGGGATGTGGGTGTGGGAAAGGGCACCAGGGAGCTCAGGCATCCTCCCTGGCATCAGGGGGATGCAAACTGGATGCGCATGGTCAGTGCTGTGATTTGGGTTTGGTGAGGTCCCTGCCTGTCCCATCTGGCACCCTGTGGTGGGGCTGGCAATGCTGAGTCCTGGCAAGGGCCAGTCCAGGTTAAAGAGCCTGCAGTGGGTCCTGAGGTCACTGCTGAGGGCCCTGCTCAGTGCTGGCACTGGCCCTGTGCCCCCTGGGCAGGGCAGGCAGCAGTGTCTGGGTGGGAGCATCCTGAGGGATCTGGAGCTGGCAGGGTCTGGGTGGGAGCATCCTGAGGGATCTGGAGCTGGCAGGGTCTGGGTGGGAGCATCCYGAGGGATCTGGAGYTGGCAGTGCCCGGGTGGGAGCATCCCGAGGGATCTGGAGCTGGCAGTGYCCGGGTGGGAGCATCCCGAGGRRTCTGGAGCTGGCARTGCCTTTCCCAGCAGCCTGGCCCTGGCACGGGGACTGCATTGTGGCCTCTGCACCTGTCCCCTCCACTGGGAGTGTCCCCTCCAGTGGTGGTGCCACCCGTTCCAGGGCAGAGCTGCCCCACAGGGCAGGGTGCTGGCACTGCCCCCGCTGCTGGAATGGCAGCCCGCTTCAGAGCCCAGATGAAACCAGCACCACCATCCCCAGGAGCTGGCATTTTCCATCCCGAGAGTCACAACAGATGCAGATTCAACCAGCACTTTGTATTTAATCATCTCTTTCGTGTGCCAAGAGAAGGAAATACTACAGCAACACTCACCCCAACCCTAAAAACACCACTAAAGGCACCCCAGACCAATCCCACCCCGCAATGTCCAGGCACTGAGCTGTTCACACAAACCATTCCTCACCCACAGCACYCCAGAGCCAAACCCCTGAACCTGAGCAGGGTTTCAGTCCTTGGTTCCACATCCTTCAAGTCACCCTGGGCTCCTGCTGTCCCCGGCTGGAGGGTCCTCAGAAGGGCTCTCAGGAAAGGGACAACCCCAAACTGGGCAGCCCTTGGTGTCCAGGGAACTCCAGGGAACCTGGGCCCTCTGTGCCCCCCTTCCAGGAGCCCCTGGGAACAGCTGTGTCCCCACCATCCTTCACAAGGACAGCCGTGTCCCCACCATCCCTCACAGGGACAGCCCTGTCCCCACCATCCCTCACAGGGACAGCCCTGTCCCCAACCATCCCTCACAGGGACAGCCCTGTCCCCAACCATCCCTCACAGGGCAGGGACAGCCGTGTCCCCAGCCATCCCTCACAGGTACAGCCCTGTCCCCAACCATCCCTCACAGGACAGGGACAGCCGTGTCCCCAACCATCCTCACAGGAACAGCCATGTCCCAACCATCCCTCACAGGGCAGGGACAGCCCTGTCCCCACCATCCCTCACAGGACCAGCCGTGTCCCCAACCATCCCTCACAGGGCAGGGACAGGGCTGCTCCTCTCCCACCAGCTCCTGTCACCTGCCACGGCTGAGAGGCACCCAAGTGGGTGGCAGGGTGGCCGTGGGTGGCTGGGGAGGGGACAGCTGAGTCATCTGTTGGGAGGGTGTGGATGATGCTGTCCCTTTAGAAATGTCACAGCTGAGATGAAATGCAAGGGCACAAAGGCACAGCATCCTCTGTGCTCCAGGATGAGTCAGGAGCTGACTCTTCCAGAGTGGGCAGCAGCTCTTGGTGGCACCCTYAGTGTCCCTGTGAGCCCTCTCCAGCCTCTGGGACCCCTGAGGGCCACGCAGGGCTCAGTCCCTCCTGCTTCTTCTCCCTCTTCTGCTGCTGGGTATTTGGGCTCCCAGGAGAGCAAGGAAGGTCAGCAGAAAATGAAGAGATGCCTCTGAACATTTGCTATTTGTTTTAGTCTACAATGTGTGCAGGGTTGTCTTGCCCTCTCCGTCCCCTGYCCACCCTGCTGCTCCCTCGCGGGCAGGGCAGGGCCTCACTGAGTTGGCCTGCGCTTGTTCATGTCATCCGAGAAGTCCTGCAGGTCATTGATAAACTGCAGGATCTGGGGGGGCAAAGGGAGATGGCAGGGTCAGGGCAGGGCTGGRCACGGGAGGCAGAGGGCAGTTTGTCCCTTTGGGAGGGCAAATGTCCCTGAGCCACCTGAGCAGACAACAGGGCCCTGCTGGACCTGCAGCACCAGAATGTGCCTCTGGTGGGGAATGAAACCAAACCTGGGCCGTGGCTGGATCTGCATCCCTGCACCCCAACACCCCTGCATCCCATCATCCTGCACCCCTGCATCCCATCATCCCATCATCCTGCATCCCTGCACCCCTGCATCCCATCATCCTGCACCCCTGTACCCCATCATCCTGCACCCCTGCATCCCATCATCCTGCACCCCTGCATCCCTGCACCCCCTCATCCCTGCACCCCCTGTCCTGGCCTGGCTCCCACTCCTGCTCCCTCAGGCCCCAGTCCTGCCTGACTCTGGGAAGGGCCAGGTTTCCCCAGTGTCCCCCCCACTCCCCATGCCCAGGGACCCCAGGGGAGCAGGGAGGGTCTGTCAGCCCTGGGGGCTCCCCCCTGCCTTTGGGAGGGTCATTCCTGCAGCATTCCTGCATTTACCATGTCCAGCTGCACGTGGATGTCCTCAGCTGCCACCTTCACCTTGGACTTGAGGCGATTGCTGGCGGCCTGGAACAGGCTGTGGATGGCCATGTTGAGSGATTTCAGCTCCAGGGCTTTCCTGGCAGCCCTATCCTGAATTTCAGCCCAGCGATTCTCCTGGGGACACGAGACACGTCTCAGCACGTCTGCTTCAGCACCGGGACCTGTCCTGGAGCCCCCGAATTCCCCTCAGCCAGCCTGGGAAGGCCCAGGGCTGGAGCTGGGTCAGCCTGCTGTGGTGGGAGCAGAGCCAGGAACCGTCCCGTGCATTTTCCAGCTCCTGCAGTCCCCTGGCACATCCTCCCTCTGCAGCAGCACGGTACCATCACTGTCACTCACTGTCCCAGACTGCCRCTCCCCTGGTGACCATCCTGCTCCACAGCTGGGCTGGCACTGCTCCTCCAGCCCCACGGAGGGATGGAGTCAGGCACCTCCTGCCACCCCAAACTGCCCTGAGCGCCTGGACCAGCCAGGTCTGGGGCACCCCCTGCCCGCCCCACAGCTCCTCACCCACTGGGCGATGTCACTTTGGGCCTGCTCAAAGGACTCTTTGAGCTTCACCAGGTCATTCTTGCAGCGCTGCATCTCGGCGTCCTTCTCTGCCCTGTGCTGCTGCAGCAGGACCTTGGCCTGCTCYGTCAGCTGCCGGTGCCACCACTGCGACTGCACCAGGTCCTTGCGAGTCCTCACCAGGGCCTTGTAGAAGGAGATGACGTCCTCGATGTCACGGAACTGCGGCACAGGACCTTGGGGTCAGTGACACGCTGCCCTGCCCTGCTCGGCCCTCGCTGGGCTCCCCTGCCCTCCCCAGCTGGGAGATCTCTTCCCTTCCCTTCCCTTCCCTTCCCTTCCCTTCCCTTCCCTTCCCTTCCCTTCCCTTCCCT